ATGTTGATGATATTATATTTGGTGCAACTAACGAATCTTTGTGCAAGTACTTTGCTGACTTGATGTGCAGTGAATTCCAAATGAGCATGATGGGGGAACTCAATTTCTTTTTAGGACTGCAGATCAAACAAACAGAATCAGGAATATTTATACATCAGCAAAAATATGTCAAGGAACTCCTGAAAAAGTATAACCTTGACAGCGCAAAGACTAACCACACACCTATGGGAACTAACTCTAGATTAGACGAAGATCCCTCAGGAACTTGTGTGGACTAGACAAAGTACAGAGGTATGATTGGTTCCTTACTATACTTAACTGCAAGTAGACCTGACATTTCTTTTAGTGTTGGTCTGTGTGCTAGGTTCCAATCAAACCCCAAAGAATCGCATCTAACAGTCGTCAAGAGAATACTGAGATATCTCAAAGGAACTGACGACTTAAGTTTATTCTACCCAAGAACTGACACATATGATCTTACAGGGTTTGCCGATGCCGACTATTCTGGGGATTTGGTGAATAGAAAAAGTACATCAGGTATGGTCTAATTCCTAGGATCTTGTTTAGTTTCTTGGAGTTCCAAGAAACAAAATACAGTTGCTCTATCCACAGCAGAAGCAGAATACGTAGCAGCTGCTGCATGTTGCTCACAACTGTTGTGGATAAAACAACAATTACGTGATTTTGGCATAGTTCTTGAATGTGTTCCAATATACTGTGATAATACAAGTGCTATTTGCATATCAAAAGATCCAGTACATCATTCACATGTAAAGCATATTCATGTTAGGCATCATTTTCTAAAAAACAATGTGGAAAAAGGCTCTATTAAATTAGAATTTATACAAACTGAATATCAAATTGCTGACATTCTAACAAAGCCTTTGAGTAGAGAAAAATTCGAAAAGATGCGATTGGAACTCGGAATGATAAAGCTGAATTGAGCAGTTCTTCTTGGAACCCCAAGGTATGTCTTAGTGAAACGACTGAGCATTGCTATATATAACCTTGGTGTGAAAAACATAATCTCGAATCTTGCAATGAAAGAGTGTGTAATTCTAATGAGTATGTGATCATATGATTATGTTGATGCAGAAGACAAATTGAGCCATATTATTTTCAAGTTCCTTTTATAAAGCTCTGTACATGTCAACCAGTATTTTACTTTGAAGTAACTTACTGAATTTTTTTTCTTTCGTAATTTTTATTTTTCTTTATTTTTATCTTTTTATTATTTTTGTTATCTTATAAATTTAAAAACAACAAAAAGATTTTTTTTCTCAATTAGATTTTATCTTATTTTTTTTTATTTTATCTTTAATTTTTATCATTGTCAAAATAAATCACAACCTTACCTCTATCCCACTAAACTCTCAACTGTCACCTATCTTTTCACCTCACTTACCACACGCACCCACTCACCTCAAAAACCCCAAAACACCAACCGTCACTTCCAACCTTCAAAGTTCCACCCACCTCTTCTATATTCCTGAAATTCACCCAACCATGAAAACCAACATCAATTCCAATCCTCTAGCACCAAGATCCAGACGGAACTCCACACCGGAGCTCCTTCCTCTAGCAATGGTAGTCACCTCCTTATCTCAAACACCAAAACGCAAGGCTACTCTACCCAAAGAAAAGCCCGGTAAAGCTAAAGTCCGTCGGACAGCACCACCATCGCAGAAAACAAAAGGGCCAAAACGAAAAATACTTGATTGGCTATGCAATTAACTACTCCTGGTGTATGGATTGTAAGTTCTCCGAAATTTTAGAGCTATTGGATTATCAAAATTGGATTTACTTGTTGGATTCGTGTGCAAAATCTCCAATTTACCCTAAGTTGATGGATGAATTTTGCTCCTCTTTTGTTTGTGTTGATGGTGTATGTAGTGCTACGGTTAATGATGTAGCTATTGAGTTTGATGAAATCTCTTTGGCTAAGTGGTTCAAAACCCCAAATTTTGGCTATCGAACATATATAAAAAATAAGCCAAAAAATACCGTAGATGGCCACCCCGAAACTGAAATCATATCCTTTATTGGAGGAAACCCAAAAATTACCACCACCAACCACAATGTGCTTACCCCAATTCACAAATTGCTATTCAATTTAATTTGGCGAGGTATTCTTCCTCGTTCACAGAAAAGAAGCACTGTTACTCTTTTAGATGCCTCTCTTATATATTGTTTAGGCAACAAAGTCACTGTAAATTTCCCTGCCTTGATGATTGCACATCTAGACCATTGCATCCCTGATCTTCATATTCCTTATGGTCCCCTGCTCACTGTGATCTTTCAGAAATGTCAAGTTCCTCTAGGAACTGCTGAGAATTACCCCTTGAAACCCGAAAACATACTTTCTGAAAAATCTCTTCTCAAATTGAGCCTTAAAGTAGTTCGTGGAAAAGTATGTTTTGTAAAAGATGCAAATTCTGAGGGAGAGGGTGATCAAACTGAGGGGGAAGTGCAAGAGGGAGAAAACAGTGAGAAAAAGATAGAAAAAGAAGGAGAGGGAGAAGCAAAAGAACAAGAGAGTGAGAAAGAAGAGGAAACAGAGAGTGAAAAAGAGGAAGCAGGAGAAAAAGAAAAAGAGACAGACACAATAGAAAAAGAGAGTGAGAGTGAGAAGGAGGAAGAGGATGATCAAGAGGAATTAATGAAAGAGTTGCTTAAGGAAATTGGGGGCTCTGTCAAACACACTGCCCCTGTAACAGGCAGAAGAAGGAGAAGTATCAGACTTGCTACATCTAAACCCAGAACCCTGCAATCTGAGACTGTTATTGTTGAGTTGGATGATGTTTCAACCAAAGTTTCTGAAGGAACTTCCACCCAAGTTTCTGAAAGAACTTCCACCCAAGTTCCTCAGGGTCCCTCCTCATCTGTTCCAGAAGAAACTCCATCACCACCTCCAATTCCATCCCCTGCTCACCAAACCACACCTTCTCCACCTGCTTCACAGCCTCGTACTTCTGGTCTCGGCTTCGGTGCTTTTAGCTCTAGTCCAAGTTCCTTGCAAATCCAGGAGGAACTTAAGCTTTTGTCCACTACACTTACACAGAGTATAACTACCCTTTCTTCTAAAGTGGATAACTTGGCTACTAAAGTTGAGGGGCTGCAAACTCAGATGCTTTCTCTGGAAGATAAAGTAAATGCTCATATGGACTCCTCAACTCAGGAATTCAAAGCTAAAGTGAAGCAAAGTTGTTACAAGACCATTCTTGATGCGATCAAGGATGTTACCTTACCATGAAGCTGCTACCATTTCCTAGCCCTTTGCAAAACAAACCTACCCCACTTTTTCTTGTGATTTATTAAACAGTGATATTGTCCTTCAATCTTATTTTGTTTGGTTTGTTTTGAACACTTTATTTTGTTTTTATTTCGGTTTGTATTAAACTGGCTAAGTTTGTCTTTGAATTTGATGTTTTAATTTTGGTTGCATATGAACTGTGTGCGCATGCTTAATCGTTCATGAATTCAGATTTACTAATCCCTCCGTAGTTTAGTACTATATATAGCATGCTCTCTCTATCATTTTGATAATGTCAAAAGGGGGAAGAGAAGAACAAACTCAAAAAGCCGGACTCAAACCGATTCCCTTCAAGTCTTCATCATTTAAGTAAAGGTATAAATTTCACAATTTATTATTTTCATGAATGATGCAGACTTCTTTAAACTTAGTTTTTTTTTATTGCTTTAATAATTTTATTGTTTCACTTAGTTATTGGTTACTCTGATTGCCTGGATGATTATTTTTGTTTACCCGAGTTTGTTTTAGTTTGTCATCATCAAAAAGGGGGAATATTGTTGAATTGACCACCTTAATATTTTAATGATTGACTTACGTAAAACAAACTCTGACTAATAATGTTTATAAGTCTTGGTTGAACAGAAAGATTCAGGTATACGAATATATGTTCCGGAGTAGGAACAACAGAGTTTGGAAGACTTGATGATGAATGCAAGCTTTCAAGATGTCCTCACAACTCTAGTATACTTAGTTATTCAGTGCATGAACTTAAGAAACAAAAGTGTTGGAAGGAACTCATGAGAAACTCAAAGTTCCTGATGGAATCTGGAATTCTTGAAATTACTTGACTGATGCTCAGAAAAGTGTTTAAACGATGGTTTTCAAAAACAGTTTTCATATCCCTTAATTTAAGGAAAAGATAAAATCAGTTTTGAAAAAGATTTATTTTATAAATAAATAAAATCAAAATAATTCATTAATTTAAAAGATAAGTTTTTAAATTAATTAATTATTTAGTTATCTTTTAATTAATAAACAATTATCTTTTTTAATTAATAAATAATTATCTTTTTAAATCCTTAACTGATTTTTGACTTAGTAAAAATAACTGTTTACTTAAATTAAGGAAGCACGTTGATTTAGGAGTCAAGCTAGGGAAATCATGTTCCTAAATTTCCTCAGCCTACATCCCAACTTCTCAGTTAAAGAGAACGTGGGATTAAGGGGGAAGTGGGAACTTGATGGAAGCTTGGTTTAACTCCTTATAAAAACAGATCAACGTTAAGTTTTGAAAGAGTGGAAAAACAATCTTAAGTATTCTGAGCATAGAGTTTCAAAGTGTTTAAAAGAGAAGTTCCTTCCATCCTTAGTCTCTTAAGTTCTTTAGAAAATACTTGTAATCATTGTGTAATTGGGTTTGGGTTGTGAGAGTTGTAAAGTGTGAGATTTGAGAGAGTTGTTTACACTGTACAAGTGATTCGGAGTAGAATCACAAAGTGTGAGAAACTGTGATTGAGGGATCACAGTTGGGTAACTTGAGTTCCTCACGGAACTTGAGTCTAGGCAACGTATTAGTGATTGTAAATCATTTTTACATAGTGAATTTATTCATTGCCTATCTCAGTGTCTTTTCTCTTAGTAGTAGATTTAATTCCGCAAAATTTACCATAGTCTACATACACTACAATTCACCCCCCCCCCCCCTCTTGTAGTATACATTGTTCTATCATTAGGCTTTATGGGACTAATGAGAAGATTGAAGAAAAAGTGGAACATTCGTGGGGAATTGTCATTGACTGACATAGGTTGTGACTACTACATCGCTAGGTTTACCAATCAAGCGGATTACAACTATGTTCTCACACAAGGCCCTTGGTTACTGGATGATAATTACCTCACAATTAGAAAATGGATCCCAAATTTTGTCCCGGATGATGGGTACGGATTCCCAATTTACCGGTGGAATATTTTGATATCAATTTTCTAAACAAAATTGGTTCAAAAATTGGACGGGTTCTTAGGGTCGATAAGACTACTGCTCAAGCTGAGAGAGGGCAGTTTACTAGAGTCAGTGTGGAAATTGATCTTTCAAAACCCCTTCTCTCGAAGTTTAGGTTGAAGGGAAATATTTGGAGGGTTCAATACGAAGGTATTCGTATGGTGTGTTTCAATTGTGGGAAACTTGGTCATGTTGCAGATGATTGTAAGCCACAAGAGGTTATGGCTAACAATCAAAATGTGAGGATAGAAGAGAATCCCCTATTTAAACCCAATAACAAACCAGAAGAAGCAGAGGACTTTGTTTCATGGATGCTAGTCAAAAAACCGATTCGAAAGTATGTTCCTCGTCAACCTAAACCATCTGGGAAGCCTGAGAAAGTAGCTAATGGATCAGTGGCGCGTGGAGCACAACAGTCTCATGGTGGAGGAAAGAATATTACCGAGAAATCTGGGCAGGGTCAAGATTTTCTGTTTTGAAAAGTCAAGAAGATATGCATGTCGAAAATCTTGGGGATAGAATTAAGGAAGTTGTTGATTTAGAAGATAATTCTCAAGCCTCTCAAGGAAATAAAAAGGATTCCTTCGATATTGGTCATCAAAATTCAAGGAATCCTAATATTATGGGGTTATATGGGAAAAATAAGATAAAGACAACTAAGGTTCTACAAAAAAAAAATCCAATTTCCAAAATTCTGTTTCGAAGATATACCAAGAAAAAAAACAAAATCTTCCACACAAGGTATGAACACACCACTCTCGGAAATCAATCCCAATTTTCCAAGTATATTCCCTACCCCACTTTTAGTTAGTAATCAAGGAAAGGAAAATAGTGAAGTTATTTTCTCAGCCAAAATTCAGAAGCCATCACAAGCTAACTCAGGGAATACATAAGCCTTCGATAAGTCCCAACAAGCTATTGCAAGCCAGACTATCGACAGCACCCATGTCTCTTCGACTTTCCCCGATCAAATTAATGATCCCCCCGGACAAAACCATTTGAGTGGGACAAACCATGGAGCAACCTTACATGGTCATAATGAACCCCCTGATTTACATATTAGAAATCAGGATAGAGACTTGGATTCTATCGGCATCGAATCCACCGGATTTGGTGATGATGATGGGATTTCCCAGTGAAGTCAACTGCGTTTTGCGATTAATAAGTCAAGCTTATATGACGACTCTACCTTCTATTCCTAGTTCCATGGAAGATAGTCTCCCAAATTTAGCTCCAGATACTTTACCAATCACTTAGCTTGCTTGGTGTGGAATGTGCAAGGTGCGGGTGACCGTAACTTCATTACTATCTTGAAGGATCTTGTACGAGACAACCAACCGGATGTTCTTGTTCTTGTAGAAACCCACATGGGTGGCGCCCAAGCTGATAAAATTGCAACCATTGTCGGATATTCTGGACATTCAAGGGTTGATGCAGTGGGATTCAGTGGTGGAATTTGGGTTTATTGGAGACCCGATAATGTGATTGTTGATCTAATCAGTAAACATAAGCAATATATATCAATGGATGTCTCTCGTGTGGGGGGTACTCCATGGTATTTTACTACAGTATATGCAAGTCCGGATCCCGCTCAGAGACATACGCTATGGCAGGAATTGAGAGATTTTTCTCGTACTCACAATAAGCCTTGGCTCATTGCTGGAGACTTTAACGACACAAGGTTTCCCTCAGAGCGTAACTCATCTTGCAGAGAAACTACAAGACAGTCTAAGTTATTTAATGAATGGGTGGAAGAGATGGACTTAATTGAAGTTGAGTTCATGGGTGCGGCACATACCTGGAGCAGGGGAAACAGAGAAGAAACTCGAAGAAGCGCGCCTCGATAAGGCGTTGTGTAATGATCAGTGGGCTTTATTATTTAACCAAGCCAAGGTTAAGCATCTTCCAGCTGTACATTCGGACCACTGCCCGATTTTCGTATCCCCCAATGGTTTTGTTCCTTTCTAGTCCTTACATCAACCTTTTTGCTTCCAAGCTACTTGGATGACTCATGAGAACTGTAAAGATTTTGTGACTGAGAAATGGGATGCCAATGGATCTCTCATGACATCCCTCTCAAAACTCTCTAGTCAATTACAATGTTGGAATCGAGATGTTTTTGGGAATGTGTTCAAACAAAAACGAATGCTTTTGGCAAGAATTGCGGGTGTACAGAGAAAACTTGCTGAGAAATCGGATAAAGGCCTGATAAAACTTGAGGCTCGATTGCGCAAATACCTGGATGAAGTGCTTGATAGGGAAGAGATCATATGGTACCAGAAATCTCGAATTGACTGGCTGAAAAACGGAGATAGAAATACCACGTTTTTTCACTTGAGCACAATCATTCGACGGTGGAAAAATAAAATTGGTGCGATTAAAAATGATAATGATGAATGGCTTAGAGACAAGCTGGAAATTCAAGAACACATTGTTCAATATTTTTCGAAGCTATTCACTGAAGAGGAGGAACCGACTGTATTTGATGTCCCTCATGACATATTTCCTGAGCTATCACCGGATGACTGGAACAAGTTGGTAAAGCCTTATTCCACAATTGAAATCGAGGAAGTGATAAAGGAGATGGGTGCTCTTAAAGCTCCGGGGCCCGATGGATTCAGGCTCTCTTCTATCAAAAAAATTGGGAAATTGTTAAAAGTACAGTGTTTAACACTATCATGCCTATATTGGAGGGTAAGGGTATCCCGGAGAGACTTAATGATACTCTCATCACTTTAATTCCAAAAATTGAAAATCCGGAATTAGCGTCCCAATTTCGGCCAATTGGACTATGTATTGTGGCATATAAGGTGGTTATGAAAGTCATTGTTAACCGTCTCAAGACAGTCCTCCATATCTTAATTAATTTCGAACACACAAGCTAGCTTAGTCCCGGGCCAGCAAGTTACCGATAATATTGTTATAGTGTAAGAAGTTATCCACACAATGCGAAAAAAGCAAGGAAAAAGAGGGTACATGGCCATCAAGAAGTTATCCAAAGTAATGTTTTTGTTAGAAATTTTCAATGTCAAAAATTAAAATATTTGACAAAAATGTTGGGAATATCCAAATATGACATAAAACTTTGATAGATCTCATAAAAATTTACCCATGTGTGCGGCCATGCCCATTTCATTAGGATTGGGCTGCTTCAAATTTTGAAACCCAAAAGACCCACATCACCAAAGCAAAGCAAGCCCAATTTGTAGTGAGCACATGCAGCCATGCAGGTGCTTATAAGAGTTTTCAGAAACTACATAGCTCAAGCTTTAATTTCCTCCAAAACTCTCTAATATGCTTCGCGTGAAATGGTGAAAATCATACTCAACGTGATCTTCAATTCTTCACATTCATTTATTAGTTCATCACGATTGTCACCTACTCACCTTCCCTTATACCTATCAAACAAGGTCTGATAAAAAATGAGTCATTTAGATCGGATTGGGTTGATTAATTTGGATATATTTCATACTTTTATGTAAGTTTGAATTATTCAGATTTAGTTAGGTCAGATTCGAGTTCAAATGAAGTTGATTTTAGTTTGATTAGTTTCATATTGGATCAAATTTTAGATTGGGGCATTTCTTTTATAGGATTGATATTTTTTGTTGGATCAATTTTGATCTAATAAATGTTTAGATCTTTGGTTTATAAGATTGAGCCAACATGTTAACGTATGAAAAAAAAAACGCTCGTTTTCCTAAAACATGACTTAGATAGTTAGATGAATGACTGCGTATAAAAGCTTGGCCAAAATATTTACCATTTTAGGTTTAAGATAATGACATTTTGTTTGGCTTATATGTGTCAACCTCTTCTTCACTAAGGGTTTATAGATAGACTTTAATTTGAAAATTTATCATAGTATACTATTGTTTCAATCGAATACCCATCCGTCATAGTTCATATTCCATTTTGGTCAATCTAGTTTAACATACCATTACATGCAATAGATATTTATAAAGCAACACATAGAATTTTAAATGTCAACCAGATTGCTAGATGGTGTATTTGTATGTGTCAACATAAGTTTTTCTAGAGCTAATCAAAGTGAGCCCATATCGCTAGCCCGGTCCCTTTTTAACTTTCTTGGAAGGACCTGAAAATGCGGTTTTATGCAATTTTAGTTGATTTTTTTGTGTGGCTCAAAAAGCTCGCCGACCCAGCTAATTTGGGCAGGTTTGAGCACATAAGTTACGGCCTGACGAATATTGGCTCGGCTTGAGACATGGGCTGAATTTTTTGGTCTTGGCCCGACTAGCCCAATGATCACCTCTAAGTTTTTCTCCCCTATGTAAGTCTATTGAAATACATACATTATTTACTACTCCGCATTATAATTTATAAAGTGTTCTAACATGCTTCCTTCTAAAAAAAAAAAAAAAAAAAAAAGGTTGTTTTAACATGCTTAATTAAACACGTCAAATTCCCTTAAAAATATGAATAAACACATCAAATTAGAAACAAAGGTTTTTTTTCTTTTTTTTTTTGCGCTTTAATACCAACAAGAATCGAACGATATGACATATTTGATAGCTCTAGTATATGCAAAACCTAAACTCCTAAAGTGACCTTAGAAAGAAGTAATTGGCTTTCGAGAAAGCTCAAAAGCAAAGGCCCTCAAGTAGGCAAAGCATTAAGCATATGGCATTGCTAGCAACAACAAACAATGCATAATATTATCATAAAATTGGGTCAAATACGGCCCACCAACCTAAATTAGAACTTTTATTTTTAATTTTTGGATTTGTAAAGAAAAAGAAGAGGGCAATAAAAATTCTCAAAAAGGATTAGCCATTTTCTTTTTTTCCTTTACATATAAAGACGAGAGTAAAAGCTACCTAGTTTTTGTTACCCATTTTGACCATCACAGTGTTAATTTTAATTTAATTAAAATTAATTAAATCAAAAGTCATAAATAAATTAAATAGAATAAAATCCACTGAATTCATACAAAACTTGGCTTGTTGCTTTTGTGGGCCTAAATTCGCATTTCTTAGTCTCATGATTAAAGTTGTGTTTAGTCTATCGCTTTCTTATCTCATCAATGCAATTTTATGTTTTAGACGTGTCCACAATATAAACTTGTATATCATTTATATTTGATTGTTTGTAATCACTTTGTTCCAACGAATTTGTGCACAAATTCGTCCTCTTATGATTTTAATCATTTTAAAATGATGGAAGATCTTCATTTTAGTTTAGCTACGTCAATTACTATCTACATTTAAATTGATGATTAGATTATCAGTTCAGATAATACTATTAACGTGACGACTAATTTTAAATAGAAGGTGTATAAGAAAGACAAAGAGTAGACGACTAAACATGAGAGCTATAATGCTATATGAGAGTGTGTATCAATGCTATTGTCTATTGAGGCAATAAGTTTCGAGATTGGAAATTTTTTGGCGATGAATAATAATTGTGTATCTAGCATCAGCTATAACACTGTCTCACCTTTTGTAATTTAGGATAT